AAAAAATCTTTTAAATTTCAAATCAAATACACATCTTTAATAAGAAAAATCATTTTGGGAAAGTATTTCATTATAAATGATTATTTTAAGAATTAATTCTAAATTTAGCAGAAAAAAATAACCCCAATTAATCATCATTTGAGTAACATTATTTATGAAGGACCATCTTGGGGATAAATCTCAATTATAGAGGACCACCTAGATAATTAAAACTTATTGAGGACTGATTTCGAAAAATACCTTATTACAAAGGACTATTTTGGGAATAAATCTCAATTATAGAGGACCATGTAGGTAATTAAAACTTATTGAGGACTAATTTGGGAAAATCCTTATTACAAAGGACTATTTTGGAAATTTACTCATTAAAGATTGTCTCGGAGTAGTATTTTTCTTATTTTTCTAATCTATACTATGTTACGAAAACCTTGTATGATAAAAAGTGGTGTATATGAATTCAGTTTTGACAACTACGTTAGAAGACAATCGTGTTGGACATGAGACATGCAAAAATATCAATACCCCGTAATGTTTATGAATTTTAGACTATGGTTAAAGGTGAATGGTGTGGCAAGAAGAATAGAGAAAGCGCACATTATCCTTTTGGTTCTAAAAAAAGCATATACGGAGTATATATATGACCCAAAGAGAAGGAGCTAAGAAGTAAAAGGGCAAGAGAGAAGAAACCAAAGAGGAAAAGTGTCCACATCTCTAGACAAGGCACAAGCCATGCCCACCCCATAGTCACCACGTGCACTTGTATTCCCACTCCACTTTAACCAAGTAAAACCAAACAATGCCATACCAAACAACTTCTGGAATTTGGTTATCCATCTCATACCCCCCACCACTCTCACTTATGGATTTCGCATGTGCACACACACTTTTAGATGTACTCTCACAAGTCCTATAATGATCCTCCCGGTTCACAAAACGAAGAAAAATCCTAAATTTTTTCAATCTATTTTATTTAAATATTGGTATAGAAATAAAAAATAAAACATACATATTTAAAAACTACACCAAAAGTTCAACAAAAAAGTGGTGACAAGAATATTTTATTTTTTCATATAGGCCATGAAAAAACACAAATAAATATAAATTCCCGTGAAGTTAGAATAGTGTTCTGGGAAGATCATTATAGGACGGAGGGAGTATTATTATGGATCTTTCTCCCCCCTAACTCATTTCTTTTTTTAGTACTCTTGCATCTAAAATGTGAAATCTCAAATCCGAGTCTACAGGAATGACAATTTCTACTTGACCGGTTAGATGAATGAAGTATTCGGTTCGATCTAATAGATGAAGAGTTGAAAAGAAAAAAATGATAGATATATATACTGTTGGAGTTCCCACATCGGAAAATAAAGATGAGTATCACTTGCATATATTGAAGGATGAAGCCCTACCTATCAGCTTAAGCTTTTGGGTTAGAATTGTGGATCCCGACTTTATATGCAAGTGGTTAATTTTACCCGACACTCTATCCGTTGTTCTCGGCCCACCGGAATTTCTACATGGTATCAGAGCAGGTCCGGTCCGGGTTTGATTGTTCCTGGTTGTTTGGATGTGGGTTTAGCAAAAATGAGCTACCCATATGTGGTTTGGGTTGAGTTGGCTAAAAAGAGATTGAGATGCCACTGCCCGTTGTGTGGGCTAGCTATAAGAGATTGAGATGCTATACCCGCTTGTCCAAGTGCTAACTAGGCCAGGCTAGTTACCACTTGCGGGGGAGTGTTGGAGTTCCCAAATAAAGATGAGTATCACTTGCATATATTGAAGGATGAAGCCCTACCTATTAGCTTAAGCTTTTGGGTTAGAATTGTGGATCCCGACTTTATGTGCAAGTGGTTAATTTTACCCGGCACTCTATCCGTTGTTCTCGGCCCGCCGGAATTATAACATGGTATCAGAGCAGGTCCGGTCCGAGTTTGATTGTTCCTGGTTGTTTGGATGTGGGTTTAGCAAAAATGAGTTACCCATCTGTGGTTTGGGCTGAGTTGGCTAAAAAGAGATTGAGATGTCACTGCCCGTTGTGTGGGCTAGCTATAAGAGATTGAGATGCTAGACCCGTTTGTCCAAGTGCTAACTAGGCCAGGTTAGTTACCACTTGCGGGGGAGTGTTGGAGTTCCCACATCGGAAAATAAAGATGAGTATCACTTGCATATATTGAAGGATGAAGCCCTACCTATCAGTTTAAGCTTTTGGGTTAGAATTGTGGATCCCGACTTTATATGCATGTAGTTAATTTTACCCGACACTCTATCCGTTGTTCTCGGCCCGCCGGAATTTCTACATATAAGGTTAGATGATGGATATAACGTAATATCCAATTATCTTTTTTTTCAATCTAATAACGCATCGTGAACCAACGGATCCACTGGGAAATCAACTTGAGTGAAGACCAAAGGGGGGCTGCTATGGTAACTATTTAATGTTCCGTACACAGTAATAATTAGAATCTGATATGGGAGTTTAGGAGTGGAAAATTGGATTCCTTGGGATAAAAAATGATATTCGAATCTACATTGGGTCACTCTACATTTATTTTGTCTAATACGGAGTAGATTTTTTTTTTTTTGAAAAAAAGAAAGAAAAATAAAGTAAACATTCGTGAATTTTATGCATAAAAATTAGAGTAATTTACTTAAATAGGATTAAAACATAATGACTTTCCTGATATATGACCATATGTTTTTATTTTCTAATGTAGGACTTTTAGTCATAATGAATTAGTCATTATTCAAGTAAATGTTCATCATTACTGGACATTATTCCTCCCACTAAGACATTAATAAGTCCTATTTATGGAATAAAAAAGTTTAAGTCCTAGATTAGGAAAGTCATTATGTTTTAGTCCTATTTAGTGCAAATTTCATTAAAAATTATACATCTTCCAGAAATACAATATCAATTTTTTTTGTAAATGTGCATAATGTATGGAGTAAAAAGTTAAGGGTTTTTTCTCTCATGCCTTCTTATTTCAAAGGTCATCGATGCCTTTCCATTTAAAGAGTGACATGTAGACAAATGTAGCGAGTATTCCACAAAGTTTAATATGGAGCATAGTTAGTTTCAAAATTTGCAAAATGCTCTCTCTATATGGCACACATCACTCTTATGAAGGATTGAATCCACCATTTATTCTTTTTCCTTCTTTAACAAATCACGCAAAATAAAAGTAAAATATTTATCTCTAAAATAGGCACACACAGATACTCAATGACTGTGCACACACAGATAATAAGATTTATTTTAGAGAGATATTACGGGTATATGATTAATAAGATAATTCGCAGTGGCAAGAGCATTTATCTTGGAGGAGGTGGGCAGATTGAAGTTGTAAAGGAGAGAAACGACTGTCTTAATTAGATGACAATGTTTACGTTCTCTTATACTCCGTACCATTCTGCTCAAAAGTGTATGGACACGATGTGTGATGGAGAATGCTCATATTTTTGATAAAAGGCCCAAATACATTATCCGTAAATTCTTTCCAATCATGACTTCAAAAAAATATAAATATTAGAATTGAATTGAGTTTAATAATCTTTTGTAAGCTTCTGAGTTGTGTTTTAGTATATAAAGCTATGTAAATTTGCTAAAACCATCAATGAAAGGAATATAATACCAAAAACCACTAATAGAAGGGACAGATATTAGACCTAAAATATCAAAATGTATTAAACTAAAGGGAGCATCCATCTTGTAATCAGACAACTCAATTGACAAAAGACATGGCTTACACACCAAACATAATTCACAATGTAGTGGTTTGGAAACTTTAAAATCTAATTATCACAAAATATGTTTGGCAACCCTAAGGGACGGATGATTAAGGCTACGATGCCCGGTAGACGCTTAAATGGCTAGACACAAAACAAAGGGTAGCTTGGAAAGGATGGTGTACCGCACTTAGTTGTTAGTATATTACATTATCTAAAAATTATTGTCATTGAAAATAAGGATGTAATTATTATCTTTGGTAAAGTCGTGGATAGATGATAAATTGGATGCAATGGAGGGGACATGGAGAAGTTAGGAGGAGAAATGGTATTTACCATTGGGTGTGTGAACATAACCTAAGCCAGTATGTAGTGGATAGGGATTGAGCGCTACCTATAATAATAGAGTCAGTGATAGTATATGGTTGAGGACCTTGTAGTTGAGAGTAATCATGTGTGACATGGGTGTTGACACCTTTGTCTAGGCAAGTCACGCAGTACAGGTCTGTGTCTCCACGGCCTCTTCTATGACCGTTGGATCGACTGTCGCGAGAATCAGTATGTCAACGATAGGAGATGGTCGACCGCAGATTGTTAACATGCCCTAGCCTAGCAGGGACGGAATCAGTGATGGGTAATTTTTTCCCATCTCAAAATTGATTTCCTTCGAAGTGAGTCATCCAGAAAGTTGATTGAGAGTGTTGTCTCTACTCTAGAGATGATTGTTTTGTTTGAAAGAAGAATAATTGGCACGGAGACCGCGAATAACAATATTGACAAACTCAAGCTTAGGAGCATGTTCAAACAAGGCATCAAGATCGGCAATGATCATGGAGACTTCATCAAGGTATTGAGACAAAAAGTATGTAGCATGTCACAGAATTGATAGATATGGGTGGTAGCAACAGAGTTGTACCTTGTTGCTAAAGCATCCCACAAGGCGGCAAAGGTGGTGAAACTCTAAGCATGTTTATGAACGGTAGGCTAGTGATGGTGAGAACACATGCAAGAATCTAAGTGTCAATTACGACCCATCGAGCATATTTAGGATTAGGAGTCACATTTCTGTCTTTTAAGACCATATTTGATGGATTTTTCTTGGATCCATCGATTCGACCCTGAAGATGATTTTTTTCAAGCACGGTTTGGACATTCAGAGACCACGTACGTTAGTTTGTGTCTATGAGTTTTTCAAGGATAAGATTATGAAAATTTTAGTGTATAAGTTTAACTCTGGATGGAAGAGAGGAGAGGGGTTCGAACGTCACCATGGTGGCCGAGTGCAGCGATTGTGTGTCAAGCTAACCACAAAAGTCACCCACCGAGCTCAGTGTCAACCAAACAAAAGCCTCCTACCACCACGTGGAAGAGGAGACGCTGTAAGGACACATGACACGAACAAGACGCGGATTAGAGGCGGGGCATACACGGAAGAGATGTGCATCTCTCATATGGAACTAAGCCAAGTAGTAAACTACAATGCTACGCGAGAAAGAAGTGTCAATCAACATCTATTATCATTGTAACCAATGATTAAGACGGTAGTATAAATTATATACCTCTTCCTTTACTTGTGAACATGCCAAAATTAAGCTAATAACACTCCAATACCTTGCACTCTCTCGGTATACATGGTGAGTTTTGGTCTATCAAATTGGTGCTTTCATTGAGAGGTGAGAGACATACTCGTACATTAACTCCTGTCACAAAAATGGTGCAGTCAAAGAACAATAATCGCGCCGCTAGCAACCAATTTGTCAGGGCGGAAGCAACTAGCCGTGCAGAGCCTAATCTCCCAACTATTGTAACACATGGCCCCGCTCCATGCGACGGTGACTACATTATCTGCCATGTGCGGGAGGGCGCACGGGGCTGGAGGCACCCCAACACATGCAACGCTTACTACCGGACACAATGTTCCTCCACAAGCTAAGGGAGGGAAGCCCCGCAAGTACAAGCTGGGGCGGCCAAGGCCCATGTCTTCATGGGACTCCAAAGGCATGTCGAAGACGTGGGTGGCTACCTCAGAGTTTGATCGGAACGTGATTCAAAATATAATGATAATAAAAAAGATGATAATTGCTGAGTCTCTTGGAAGTCGGGATGCAATGGATGGCATAAGGGACACAACCTTATTCATTTCACTATTTTAAATTTCATAGAATTAAATTGTACCCATGTAACAAATTTCACCGGCAAGTACATGTTACTATGATAAAAATGTGACAGAGGGAGTGTAACATTATTTCTGAGCCATAAGAAAGAATATCAGTTCAATGACCACTGTGATGCCCACATCATCTCCTTCCCCCGGCCCCTATATATATGTCTTCTCCAACTTCCACTCTGTACAAATTTCCCAATCTCTCTCATTTATCTCCCACTCATCGGAGAGCGAAGGGACGATCTCCACAGTTTGGTTTCACTTTTCTCGAAATTCCCATTTTGCCCCTCGCCGGAGAAAATGATCACCGGCCACGATCTCTACGTCGTCCTCACGGCGGTTGTCCCACTCTACGTGGCAATGTTCCTGGCCTACGGCTCCGTCCGGTGGTGGAAGATCTTCACCCCCGACCAGTGCTCCGGCATCAACCGGTTCGTCGCCATCTTCGCCGTCCCTCTCCTCTCCTTCCACTTCATCTCCTCCAATAACCCCTACGCCATGAACTTCCGGTTCATCGCCGCCGACAGCCTGCAGAAGACGATCATGCTGGTGGTGCTCTGCCTCTGGGCGAATCTCACAAGAAATGGCAGCCTCGAATGGAGCATCACCATTTTCTCCCTCTCCACTCTCCCCAATACTCTGGTCATGGGGATTCCCCTGCTGATCGCCATGTACGGCGAGTACTCCGGCAGCCTGATGGTCCAGGTGGTGGTGCTGCAGTGCATCATCTGGTATACTCTGCTTCTGTTCTTGTTCGAATACCGCGGTGCCAAGATGCTGATAATGGAGCAATTCCCGGAAACCGCCGCGGATATTGTGTCCTTTAAGGTGGAATCCGATGTGGTTTCCTTGGACGGGCAGGATTTTCTTGAGACCGACGCGGAAATTGGGAACGACGGGAAGCTCCATGTGACGGTGAGGAGGTCCAATGCTTCGCGGCGGTCCTTCGCGATGACGCCGCGGCCGTCGAACCTCACCGGCGCCGAGATCTACAGCCTGAGCTCGTCGAGGAACCAGACGCCGAGAGGGTCGAATTTCAACCACTCCGATTTCTACTCCATGATGGGCTTTCCGGGGAGGCTGTCGAACTTCGGGCCGGCGGAGACGACTCCCCGGGCGTCGAATTTCGAGGAGCATTGTGCTCCGGGAGGGCTGATGAACTCTCCCAGATTCGGGTTTTACCCGGCCCAATCCGCACCGGCTTCGTACCCGGCGCCGAACCCGGAAATAGCTTCTGTGGGGATAAAGAGCAACCAGAAGCAGACGCCGGCGCAGCCGCAGCAGCCTCTGCCGCCGCCGCCGCCGTCGCAACAGGGCGGCAAGGCGAACCACGACGCCAAAGAGCTCCACATGTTCGTCTGGAGCTCCAGCACGTCGCCGGTGTCGGAGGCGGCCGGCCTCCACGCGTTCAACGACCAGTCAAGCCGGTCGGACGGCGCCAAGGAAATCAGAATGCTTGTCTCCGATCACCCTCAGAACGGCGATGCCAAAAGTAATTTCTCTTTTTCCCTTTTGCTTCGCGCATTATTGGAAGAATAATTTCTAGAGTAATTTACCTAAATAGGACTAAAACATAACTTTCTTAAAATAGGACCATTTGTTTTTATTTCCAAATGTAGGACCTTTGGTCATTATTTTTTAGTCATTATTCAAGTAATGTCTATCATTGCTGGGCATTATTCTTTCCACGAAGACATTATAAAGTCCTATTTAGAGAATAAAAAAGTTTAAGTCCTAGATTAGGAAAGTCATTATGTTTTAATCCTATTTAATGCAAATTTCACTAATTTCTACTTTTCATGCCAAACATTAACTCTAATTCAAAAAATGGTAAATGCACTATATTATTTCACTTCTTAAAAATTTGGAGTAATTACACAATTACTCCGTATAATATTAGAAATCACATATAATTTGAAATCATCTATAAAATTTAATTTTTTATTTTCGAACAAATATAAAAAAGCAAAATATGTTGTTATATTTTGGACAAAACATAAATAAGAGTGATAAGTAAATATTAAAGCATTGTGAAATTTGCACTAAATATAACTAAAAGATAAATTATTTTTCAATGTAAAACTTAAAATTTTTATTTCCTAAATAGTACTAAATGATGTCTAGTGAGAGGAATAATGTTCAGTGATAGTAGAGATTTACTTAAATAATGACTAAAGGATAATGACCAATGGTTTCATATTGGGAAATAAAAACTTATGGTCCTATTTGAGTTAATTAACCTAAAGCATTTAGTTAAGAGAAATTTACCTAAATAGGACTAAAACATAATGACTTTCCCAATATAGGACCATATGTTTTTATTTCCCAATGTAGGATATTTGGTCATTATCAAGTAGTCATTATTCAACTAAATATCTATCATTACTGGACATTATTCTTTCTACTAGGTCATTAATAAGTCCTATTTAGAGAATAAAAAAGTTTAAGTCCTACATTAGGAAAGTCATTATGTTTTAGTCATATTTAGTGCAAATTTCACTTTAATTAATTTAGAAATGACCTTTTTCTTTAGTATTAGCAGCCAAATTTTTTAATGATTTATGTTAATTTTGAAAATGTTACACCGTGCGCCGTAATATAAATCACCTTTATGTTTGATTATCGTTATTAAAAGAAAAAATTCACCTCATTTTCTCAAAATTCACGTGAGACATAATAATTGATATCAATATTTCGAGATTTTCATATATTTACATTGCTAATCCAGCATTGACATACGTTTTATCCTAACATTTGTAGCAAATATAAACATATATTTTCTTCATCCCTATTTTAATCTCTATACTAAGGAAAAATATATTCATATTGAAACATAGTTTTCAAATATTAATGTAATTTTAAAGTATATTTATGTATAAATAAAGATATTACTAGTCAAAATATAACATTGAAGATCGTGAAAAATCAAATGAGAAGAATATTTCTGAATGAGTCTAAAATTGGGCAATTCGAGAGGAATGGTGGAACTTTTCATTTTCAAAATGTTGGAATAGATTGCCGTTTAATTAATTAATTCAATAGATAAATGTTTTTTTAAACCCAAAAAAAATGAACAACTAAATAAATGAAAGAAATTGCAGAAGCAGGGGACACGGAGGACTTCAGCTTCGCTGGAAGCGGTGGGGAAGAAGGGAGGAAGGAGATGGAGGCGGGGGGGCCCACGGGATTATCGAAGCTGGGGACCGCCGCGGCCGACATGATCCACAACCAAAAGGCAGCCGGAAACAACGACGGCGGCGCCGGAAAACAGATGCCGCCGGCGAGCGTGATGACGCGCCTTATCTTGATCATGGTTTGGCGGAAGCTTATCCGTAACCCCAACACCTATTCCAGCCTCATCGGCCTCGTTTGGTCTCTTGTCGCCTTCCGGTACAATAAAACCTCCTCTCTTCTTTTCTTTTTTTTATCTAATATTTTAATATATCCAATCATGTTAGAAATATTTTTATATTTTAAAATTTAAATATTTTATTACATGAAAAAATATTGAAATAAAGATAAAACATTGAACAGGACTGTGGAATGCTCGAACGTTAATATACAATATCATATTGTCTCCGTGAAAATTTTTATTTTGAGATAAAAATATATCGCTTCTATTTTAGATTGAAGGACTATGTTTTACTATTATTGAAATAGATTCTTTTCATCAATTTTAACTTTCAGAAAATTATAAAATGTACTTTATATTTCATTATATTAATGTGTACTACCTCTCTTTGTTGTAGATCTTTCCAGATACTATCTGCATGGTTAAACTTAACTTATTTTGTTTTTTAATTTTCACCGCTCATTTTATTGAATAGTATTATCTTGTCACTCCTAGTTTTTTAAAACTTTTCATGTACTTTTTTACTATATAAATTTTGTCTTTGCAATCAAATAAATTAAATTGAAATAAAATCGATCAAACTTCGTAACGCGTAATGGAAAAGATCTTTGGTGAACGGAAGAAGTAATATATATTTTTTAGGTACGGAGTAATTGATGATCAAATTTTGTACAGACGTTTTATTTTTTTTTAATTTTATTAACAAGATTCTTGAACAAAGGGGGGTCAAGTGAGGTGATTATTAGGTGGTGTTTGGATGTGTAATTTGCAGGTGGCATGTGGAAATGCCTAAAATCATAGACAAGTCAATCGCAATCTTATCAAATGCCGGACTTGGAATGGCCATGTTTAGCTTAGGTAAGTACTCCTCACACACTTTTATTGTTTCTCTCAAACAATATGTTTTGTATGGTCTGTGCAAAGTATGTGATCATGTTTGGGAACACGTTTTTAAAAATCACTCTAGTTTTATTGCTTTTTTAAAGATATATATCTGAAATACGCTATTAAAATTTATTTAAAGCGCTAATCGAAAACATTTTTACCAAACAAGACCTATGAATTTGAAATACAAGGTTTTGATGATTTGTTGGATTTTGTAAGGGGCACTTATTTTGATACTGTATTTTTGCACAAATAAAAAACACACAAATAAAATCTGATTTGTACTTTTGTACAGACAGATTTTATTTGCATCTTTCTGTTAAAAAGATTTCGTGACTTGCACGAGTAATTCTCTATTCGTTTTCTTGTTGTACTTGGCAGTACAAATCCCTCCATATTGTTAAATTTTAAGGAAATGGTACAATTCCACACAGATTCACGTGTCAGTGGTAAGTAGCAGCCTGTGTGGCATAGAGGGCAGCGGCCACTGCCGTAGTTGTCGATTAGCGTTAGCATTTTAAATTAAATTTTAACGGTGTAAATAAATTCATGAAAATGCCAACGCTTAATTCTATTGTCGGATAATCTTTTTTAAAACGCTAAAGTTAGTCTCTAATGTTAATACCAAGAGATGCCAATATCAGAAATTTACCTAAATAGGACTAAAACATAATGACTTTCTCAATATAGGACCATATGTTTTTATTTCCCAATATAGGACCTTTGGTCATTATCAAGTAGTCATTATTCAACTAAATGTCCATCATTACTGGATATTATTCCTTCCACAAGGTCATTATTTAGTCATATTTAGGAAACAAAAAAGTTTAAGTCCTACATTAGGAAAGTCATTATGTTTTAGTCCTATTTAGTGCAAATTTCACTTTTTTAAAATGATAATAATAAGAGGAATGGAATGGCATGGCAGGGTTATTTATGGCACTTCAACCGAAGATAATAGCATGTGGGAACACGGTGGCGGTGTTCGCGATGGCGGTCCGGTTCCTGACGGGGCCGGCAGTTATGGCGGCAGCTTCCATTGCAGTTGGGCTTCGTGGTACCCTCCTCCGTGTCGCCATTGTCCAGGTTCACCCCACTTCTTACTTATTATTCCACTTTATTCTCCTCATCTCCTTTTTGTCTTCTCCATTGTCCCAAATTGTTTGTCACATTTTCACAAAATGAAGTACAATATCAGGTTTTTTCCAATCCATATTATTTTAATATGATATAAAAATAAAACTAAAATTTACGTATTTAAAAACTACATAAAAATTTGATATCAAATTAATTTGGGAGTGCAATTGAAGGATTATAGGTGCGTTCGGATCGGAACGGGGTGGGGGTTTACCGGAATGTTAGGGAAAGGAATCGTCAATTTTACGGGAGTATCTTCGGATCATTCGACCACGTGGACATTATAAATTATTTTTTTGAAGTGACTATCGGAACAATTTTGAAAAGCATAGTTTTTTTTAACATTAAAATCGTTCTTCTTCATTATGAAATGAGAGACAGAATAATAGTGAGATGACACAAAGAGATTGATGAAAGAAATATCTAATCACGATGCTTTACAATGGATTTCATACTCATGGCCCACTTATTATTTTCAATTCATTTTACTCTTTAGTCTAAAAAATTATTTTATTTATAGACTAATATAAATATCATAAATTTAAAATATATATTTTAAAATTACACCAAAATTTTGTAAAACAAGACGTAATTAAAATACTTATTAAAAAAATAATTACAAATCTTTTCTCGGGCATCACTTCGTAATTGTTCCAATAAAGTCCAAAAACAATGACTATAAATTCACATCCTTTCAAATTAATTTACCCACTTTAATTTCATAAAAATTAAATTACTTTCTCAAAATAAAAAAATGAAAAATTTTTTTAGGTGAATTTTAGTGTGGATGAAAAAGAAAAATGAGAGTTTTTTTATTTGCGGGTTAGAGTTAATATTACTAAGATGTCATTTCGTCTTATTATTCTCTCTGTCTCTAAAATGATTTTTTTATTTCACCATTTTATTTTTTTGAAAAAATGTTGAAAAGATAATAAAAAATATACTCCGTATATTGTTAGAATATTCAAAAAGAACAAAAAAAAAAGAAATAATAATCATTTTTGGAATAGAAAGAATATGTAGGGATCTTTATTAATTAATAGAGTATATAATAATGATGTACCTGCAGGCGGCATTGCCACAAGGGATTGTCCCCTTTGTGTTTGCTAAAGAATACAATGTCCATCCAGCTATCCTCAGCACCGGGTCAGTCTTTACATTATTCTTTTCCTACCGCTATTTCTTTTTCTTTTTTTATTTTATTTTTTTAGTGGAATTCCATAGACTTTGTTTAGGCAATTTTAAAATTTTATATGGATTACTGATATAAATTTAATATCAATATGATATATTAATTTTAAAATATAGTTCTAAGATATCATATTTTAAGCTTATATTTTTGTTTAAATAAAAGATATTAATCAACAAAATTTGGTTGATTTCACTGAGGGAAAAGTCTTAATAGGTCCCTATTTTTTTCAAAAATACTTCTTTAAGTTCCTCTTCTTTCAAATTAGTGCACTCTCCGGTGGCTTTTCCGGCCAAAACACCGGCATACCGTCCATTTTTTTTTTATTAAAAAAACTGTTATTCCCTCTTTGACCTTCACTTCCTAAATCCCTATACTTTTTGGCTGGTGCATAAGTAGTTGTCCTGTAGGTTTTCAATGTCTCTGGCGGCATAGCATAAACTTTTAAAGAATGATACTTAGTACTCCCTCCGTCCCTGAGTGTTTGTCCACTTTTATTTTTGCACACCATCCAATGCACTTCTTTAATTCATTTTATCTTGTAATTTGTATATTAAAAAATTATAAAAATTATATATTAATAATCTACGGAGTATATGTTAAGACGAATCAAACAAGATCACACATGACTATTTTTAGGCTTACACATTGAGAGAATTTGATGAGTCAAAGTGCTTAGATGAACAGTTCCAAAAGTCAAAAGTAGATAAACACTCAGGGACGGACCAAGTATTTTTTTTTGAAATAAAGAGAACATATCTAGTTTTACTCAAGACGCATAGGGATGTTGGGAATACTTGTAAAAATATAGGAATCTAGTAAGTGAAGGGCAAAAAGGGAATAATTTTTTTAAAAAAAGAAATTCGGACGGTATGCTAGAGTTTTGGATGGAAAAGTTATCAGATGGACTATTTGTGCATCGGTTAGAAACTATAGAGACCTGATAAACATTTAAAACCTGAGAAGCACTTTTGAAAAAATATTGGGAGCTAGTAAGACCTTTTCCCTTTCAGAGAGTCATCAATAGCAGAATCAACAACTCATTTTCAATCTAAAATATGAGACAATATTAGCTTTATTTTTATAATTCAATTCTTGAGAATATAACACTTCAAACCAAATGATTCTTATTCTAATTCTGAGAATCACATTCAATTTTAGAATCCATACCAAATGATCACTACCTAATTCAATCACTTTACCAACACATTTATATAAACTATTTTTTCTTCTTGCATATATTAATTAAAATTAACCTGTCCAAGAAATTTCATTGCATCAGGGTTATTTTTGGAATGTTAATCGCGCTACCCATCACGCTAGTGTACTACATTATCCTCGGGCTATAGACAACCGAGTAGTCGGATCGGGACGGGACGAGACATGTTCATTGTAATGTCAAAAATGGAGATTTGATTGGAAACAAGAACTACAAGAAGCTTCATTGTGAAAAGGCTGTGTTTGGGAGAAACAACAAAAGGGTTTTTTTATTAATAAAAAAAAGAAGGATTAGTGCTAGTAATGAATTAGACAATTAGTACAAGTATGGATGTAAATTCTCCCAAACCCATGAAGATATTTTGACTTATTTAGTTGAAGGGGTTCAATGGCCGTGATTAGAGGGTTATTGTCCCATAATTTTCACAATGGGAGGCAAGCCAAACAAGGAATAGTCCTATGGAGAGGAGGCAAGAAAAAGAGCAAAAAAACAAGGATGCAAAAAAAAAGTGTGATAATCTACATCTATTATTACCATGTATGGTTATTATGTTCTCTTTTTCTTTTCTTTTTTCTTTTCCCCCCTTTTCTAGTAGTCACCACTAGCTATTGTAAAGGGTCCATTTTGAGAGAAAATAAGAACATGTTTGCTAGTTGAAATTCTAAATGAAATTTGTTTTTGACATTTTTTTGTATTTGATTGGTGGCATATGATGAACCATCCAACTGTCTTTCGGAACAACTTTTTAATTGGTGTTTCTCATGTGTTTTTCTTTTGTGTATGCTTATAAATGTTAAATCAAACATTGTTGTTAAATAACTATTTCAAATTGGGACTTGCTTTAACTTTTACCAAACACTAATTATAATGCATATTGCGTCATTAAATACACGCTTTGTCCCAAAAAAAATATACGGAGTACCTTATATTCATATACTTCTAAAACAATTTCTTATTTTCTACTCCCTCCGTCCTAAATTATAATGCATGTTCATTATTCACAGGGTCAAACTTCATTCACTTTCTTTCTCTATTTTCGTTAGCATTTTGGTAAAATAAAATATTGTTGTCACTACTAGTTTTGTAGATCTTTTGATGTAGTATTTTAATATGTAATTTTTATTTTTTAACTCTATACCATTTGTCGTATAAAATGATTTGAAAATAACTTCAGTCAAACATCGTAAACCGAAACAGGCGTTATAAAATGGGACGGAGGGAGTATTAAAAAGTTATTTTTATCAATATTAATTCTTATCCTACCTATCACATTATATTTATTCATCACTATTAGTCTANCAAAAAAAATATACGGAGTACCTTATATTCATATACTTCTAAAACAATTTCTTATTTTCTACTCCCTCCGTCCTAAATTATAATGCATGTTCATTATTCACAGGGTCAAACTTCATTCACTTTCTTTCTCTATTTTCGTTAGCATTTTGGTAAAATAAAATATTGTTGTCACTACTAGTTTTGTAGATCTTTTGATGTAGTATTTTAATATGTAATTTTTATTTTTTAACTCTATACCATTTGTCGTATAAAATGATTTGAAAATAACTTCAGTCAAACATCGTAAACCGAAACAGGCGTTATAAAATGGGACGGAGGGAGTATTAAAAAGTTATTTTTATCAATATTAATTCTTATCCTACCTATCACATTATATTTATTCATCACTATTAGTCTACCAATCAAATCTTACTTTGACTCATCACATCCAAAGACATTTTTGAAAACTCATCACCAAAATACATTCTCCTTAAATCATTTAAAAATCAAAACCTCATGTTTTCAGGGACGAAGGAAGTACTACATTCTCATTTAATCTTTTACAATATTTTTTTTGAAGCAATCTTTTACAATATTAGATGTAGCATTTTGATCTTTAGTACTCGTATTTATATTTATACATATACATTTCAAATGTGATGCTTGATTAAAAAATATAATATTTCAAAATTACATGTTAAAATTAATTTACTCATATTAATAATGTATCTTAACGCAATGCCATCTTTCGTACTCCGTATATTATACTCCTTCGTCCCAAATTGAATGTCACTGTCACTATTACAACTTTTCGACTACTTGTGTTTGTGTGTTTTCAGTGATCGTTTGATAAATTAAAATATTATTGTCACATCTTACTTTGTAGAATTTTTATGTATTTTTGAACGATGCAATTTCTATTTTTTCTCTACTAATTTATAATTATAATTTTTTAAAAATGATCAAATTTTGAACGTTATAAAGAGTGATATTCACTGTAAGACGGAAGAATCATTTAAAATTTATGAATTTTGATTTTAAAAAAAATAATGGATTTTTTAGGACGGCAGGAGAACAATGTTATGATAACAGCCACATTTATTACACTTTGAATGATTGAAAAAAAGAAAGAAAGAAAGAAAGATTGATGTTGGACTCTTTTTATAAAAAGTCACCTTTAATCCTGAAGAACTCACCCAAAAGTCACCAACCAGGTGAGAGAGTTGGTACATCTTGACTTACATCAAGTAGAAGCAAAAATTGGAAGGGTTCATGTAAGTTTAGTTGACTTTTGAATCAAAAATTTTATTCCAAGGTCAATTAAATTTGTACCCACAATTGACTTGTGTAGGAGATGAGTAGGGGTCGAAATTCGATTAGGGCGGAGTTATCGAAGGGTTAGAGGGTATGACTATCAATTTTGTAAATGAAGCACTATAAGTGTTTTAATTGGAATAGTATGTATCGTGACCATTCAAAGAGAGTTGCCATGAAATCAAAGTGAAATTGAAAAGTGCTACGGAGTAAAAAAGATGTTGAAAAGTTAAAAAAGAAATAAACAAGAAGATGAGCCGCATCCTCGACGGTCCCTTCAAATTTGGTCAAGCAATCACTGAAAGAAGGTAAATTGAACTTTAATGACATATTGGTAGTGAAGATTAAAGACTGAAGTCTGAACCTATTACGGGCCTGTTCTTTTGGACTTGAACTCTTAACTTCCAGTTTTTTCCAGTTCTTTCCAGTTTTTTCCAGTTTTTTCCAGTTTCTTCCAGTTTCTTCCAGTTCTTCCAGTTTTTTCCAGTTTCTTCCAGTTTTTTCCAGTTTCTTCCAGTTCATTCCAGTTTCTTCCAGTTTTTTCCAATTTCTTCCAGTTTTTCTTATTTTTTCCATTTTCTTCTAATTTCTTCCAACTATATTTATTTTCTTCAAATTCTTTCTACTTTCTGACAAATCACTCTAAAAAAATATATTATTATTATTATTATTATTATTATTATTATTATTATTATTATTATTCTTACAGTTTTTTTAATTATAACTTTTATGTAGATAACTATAGTTTATAAATTATTTCATTTTGTCATCTCACTATTAATATGAATAATACCATTTTTTTGTATATTAATCTACAAGAAAAAATAGGAAACTATTTTAAAAATTATGGTTAAATAGTTATATACACCCTCCTTCTCTAAATATTCACAACATTTGCTTTTTCAACAGTCGCGGGAACTTTTGTTTATTTCAATGTTTTCATTGATTATTTGATAAAATAAAATATTCTTGACACCTCTTATTTCGAAGAACTTTTCATGTAGTTTTTTACTATATAAATTTTATTTTTTTATTTCTATACCAATATGTAAATAAAATGAATTGAAAAGATTTAATATTTTACCTCGGGAATACAAATGTGGCAAATAATTTGGGACGGAGGGAGCAGAATATTTTTTAATCTAAATTTATATAAGGTAAACACCAATATTTTAATCTAAAATATAGTACCTTCAATTAAGTTTAACTACATTGTAGAATATTAAGTGTTAGTTCATCTCTAAACTGTTTCATTGCATCTTTAGTTTGTTCATCAAATAGCATCACCTTAGGCCTATCTTGAGTTGTTTGCTGCCTCAGTGAAATTGGTATTCCCTTTCGATGAACATTTTGATATTTATGCTAATTTTATCTTCTAATTATTTAACATTTTGATATTTATGCTAATTTTATATTCTAATTATTTTTTTAAACTATCTTTTTATGTATGAAAATAATATTCGTAATATTTTTTTTATTTTAAAGACAATCATTTAGATAACGTAATAACACTACCACCACCACCACCACTAACAACAACGACAACAATAATAATTTATATCAACAAGAATCAGAATGAGAATAATTTAAGACCACACATAAAAAATTTTTAAAAACTTTTTTTATATTTTACAATTTATTCTAGTTTTTTCAGCTTCTTTTAATTTTTTCTAGTTTTTCCAGTTTCTTCCAGTTTCTTCCAGTTCCTTCCAATTTCTTCCAGTGTCTTCCAGTTCTTCCAGTTCCTTCCAGTTTCTTCCAGTTCCTTCCAGTTTCTTCCAGTTTTTTCCAGTTTCTTCCAGTTTCCAGCTCTTTTTTCCAGTCCTAAAGAACAGACCCTACTTGCAGAGACTCTATCTTAACATAGTTTTTTTCCCATCACATTTGTCAGAAATCAAACTTAGGTTGTATCTCTTGCACTCATTGTCTTTACCAACTATGCAACACTCACTGACGTTGAAAAATAAAAAACAAACTATGTATTAGAATTCGTATAGAAAAAAAAAATTTGGTTGTCTTACATTTTCCATGGGAAAAAATTAAAAAAAAATTATTTTGAAATGAATGAAAGGGAAAGTAGGGAAACTTTTTTTTTTGAAAAGAAAATATCAATATCCGTCACTATGGTATCGGCCCAGTAGGGTGCCCAGGAAAAAATAGGGTGGGCCGGTCCAAAAAATATTTGGCTGTATTATGTAAAGAAATGTTTTTTAAATAAATTCTGGAAGTAAAATCTTTAAAATATGCAAATTAAATTATATTATGACATACTCCTAATTTACGAATTCTGGAATTTTTTTAAAATTATTTGAATACTTATTTAATATGAAACTTTTTATCCATTCAAATTGCTTTTAAAAAATTCCGGTTCTTAGCTTAGAGTGTCCCGGCACGAAGTGACTTTTCCGAAAATATAGAGACAAATCAAAATTCATAGATGAATTGTTCATTGGGATTGTAATTTATGATACTTTTGTTCGTTCCACTACTATATTCAAGTGCTTATTTCGCTTTTTGTATCGAATATTACGTTCCACTAACAATATATTTTAAAATATATTAGTAAAAAATATTTTTGATACGAGTAATATGATACGGAGTATATCTTTTGTACTTAAATTTACGGTGGGGTTCCAGTAACTCCAACTTTTGGTGGCACTAGCGTTGCCACTGTCATTTTAGAGCACTTCCGATGCTTTATTCATAAAATTGACGGTTCCTACTCTCCCTAACCCACCCCCTAAACCCCCCACCCTGCCCCACGCCCGTGCACCCCCACCCCAACTCCGCCGTAAGACCCCTACAAAATGTGTAGCTATTATAGTTGCATAATAATCGCCACAGGTTACTTATAGAGGTTGACGACGACAGAGTTGGATTATCCTTCTTCGTCGCTCTTCTCCATCACTCTACTTCAATTCTCCTACTCCATATTTTTTCTTCTCCCAGGCAAATTACTTAATTGTCATGGTGCCTGTTTGGGAATAGCGTTAGAGATTAGCGTTAACGTTTTGGATAAAATTTTAACGGTGCAATTATTTTGAAAACGTTAACGCTAAACGATGCCCATAGATATCTTTTTCAAAACGCTGACGCTAGTAGCTAACGCTATTCCCAAACAGGCCCGTGCTGTTTGTAAGGTCTTTGATAAAATGCTAGAA